ACAGTTTATTTATGAATTGCCTTTGTTTGTTCTAATTTATAAGATACGGAGTATGAAGTGAAGTTTATTCTAAGTAGGCACGATGTGACATTGTTCCTCTAGCATTTGAAGCATCCGTTCAAAGAGCATTATGAGAGAACTATTAATATTTCAGATACTGTTTTTCATGGAAATGTATTAACTTACGTTACTCTCTTTGCCTTGGCTTCAAATTTAACTTATTAGCCACGAACTGAAAGGATCCCTTCCGTGGTTCAAACGACCCGACGGCTTTCAGCGTGGAGTCACGTTGCCGACCCCTGATGCAGTTTTGTTTTGTGCCTCGCGAGTATTTTTAATGACATATCCCAACATTTTCAAAAAGTTCCCGCGTAAACTTCAAACAGTGTTTGAGTTGTACAGCGAGTAGGGAAAGGGGCAAACGGAGAATCCGTGCAACACACACACGAGCAAACGCGTTAATGTTTTTAAAAACACCGCCGGCTGCCTCGCATGTAAATACTCGGAGGCGACCAGCAGGAGGCGGGCTCCGCTGGCGGGGCGCGCCCTGCCCTGCCGGGTCGCGTGCAAATCGTCGACTTGCCTCGTGCGCGGCCTTCCCACGCGTTTGTTTGCGTCCGCCCGGCGCGACGAGGGGCGGCGGCGGCGACATCGACAGCGCCCGCGCCCTCCCTGCCGCTGCCGGGTGCAGAAGAAAGGAAAATGGCCGGGGCAAGAAACGGCGTGAGGCAGGGAGACTGTGGGTTTTCTGGAAACGTATCGCGTCGTTCACACGAGACGTAAACGAAAAGGAAATCTTGAAGCAAATGTAAACAAAGATTTGCTTATAAGCTATGTAATGGAGTGATTCATGTCGTAGTAAGTAAAAGTAAACCCTTAACATTAATGTGTCACGTTCGTATATTTCAAATATTTATTTCATCGTTAACGTAAAAATATCTTGATTTAAGAAAGAAAATAAAAAGGATATGTAGAGGAGGTTTATTAAATATCTTGTAAAAATAAATTAATAAAATTAAAACAAATATGTCAGTATTGAAATATAGTGATTGAAATTTTCTTACAGTTATGTTTTCAGAATTTACGTTTAACCAATGTTATTTATACGATCTTATTCTTATTGCTAACTACATGTTTGTAGTAATTAATAATAACTTTATTTTGTAAAAATATTAATAAAATATACTTAAATAGTCAATGATATAAACCAGAGCATATGAACAACATAGTTTACAATTATAAATTAAATAATCCGGAATCAGTATTAGCAATGTGGGACTAAAGTATTTGGTGAATGAAAGTTAGTAAACAGAACGGCAGAGGTGGTACATCGGGAGGTTGCCCCCGAAAAAGGAAATATTGAAAAGAATTGTGAATCAGGTGATACATTTCTTCAGTTTAATATTAAAGTAATATTTTGTATTAGGATTAAAATGTCCGTCTGCAAAGATAATAAATATTTTAGTCGGCGTAATAAGAATGTTCCCAAGAGGTGTTTTCTCCGAGCGTCCTCCTTTCGAACCGCTTTCTCCGGCGCTGGCTGCGAGGGAGAGGCGGAATGGCGATGATGGGTCGGGGCTGTGGAGACGAAGGGGCTCCGCAGATAGATGGGGCGCCGGTCCGCGCCGGTCCGCGCCGGTCCGCGCCGGTCCGCGCCGGTCCGCGCCGGTCCCGCGCCACGGTCCGCGGCCGTCCCGCGCCGGTCCGCGCCGGGTCCGCCGCGGATCCGCGCCGCGTCCGCGCCGGCCGTGCGTCGCGCCGGTCCGCGCCGGATCCGCGCCGTGTCCGCGCCGGTCCGCGGTGCCCGGTCGCGCGCCGGTCCGCGCGGTCCGCGCGGTCTCGCGGCCGTCCGCGCGGTCCGCGCCGGTCGCGCCGTCGTCCCTGCCGTCGCGCCCGTCCGCGCCGGTCCGCGCCGGTCCGCGCCGGTCGCCGCGCCCGGTCCCGCGTCCGGCCGGTCCGCGCCGGTCCGCGGTCCGGCGGTTCCGCGCCGTCCGCGGCCGTCCGCTGGCCGGTCCGCGCCGGTCCGCGCCGAGTCCGCGCCGGTCCAGCGCCGGTCCGGCGCGCGGTCCGCGCCGGTCCGCGCCGGTCGCGCCGGTCCGCGCGGTCCGGCCGTCCGCGGCGGTCGCGGCCGGTCCGCGCGGTCCCGCGCCGGTCGCCGCCGGTCCGCTGCGGTCCGCGCCGGTCCGCGCCGGTCCGCGCCGAGTCGCGCCGGTCCGCGCCGGTCCGCGCGCGCCGATCCGCGCCGGTCCGCGCCGTCGCGCCGGTCCGGCGGTCCGCTGCCGGTCCGCGCCGGTCGCGCCGGTCCAGCGCCGGTCCGCGCAGGTCCGCGCGCGCCGCGCCGGTTCGCGCCGGCCCGCCGTCGCGCGCGTTCCGGCGTCCGGCGCGCCGGTACCGCGCCGGTCCGCGCCGGTCGCGCGCCGGTACCGCGCCGGTCCGTCGCCGGTCCCGCGCCGGTCCCGCGCCGGTCCGCGCGGTCCGCGCCGGTCCGCGCCGTGTCCGACGCCAGGTCCGCGCCGGTTCCGCGCCGAGTCCCCTCGCCGCGTCCCGCGGGCGGGCCTCCGCGCCGCCGCCGTCCGCGCTCCGCGCTCGCGCCGTCGATCCGCGCGTCGCGCGGTCCGCGCGCGTTCCGCGCGATCCGCGCCGGTCCGCGCCGGTCCGCCGCCGTGCTCTCCCGCAGGGTTCGGGGGTGGTGGGAACAGAGAGTGTATCTTTCACGGGCGAGTGACACGCGCGGGTGTCGCGGCCGGGGACCTCGGACGGCCGAGGGAGGCGCCACAGTAGCTGCGCCGGAATGCAATATCCATGCAAATAGGCGGCGCGCAGCACGTGGCGGCGCGCCGGGTCGCAGAGGGGTGGGGTGGGGCACGGGGGCCCCGCCGGCCAAGTGCTGGTAATTTCAGGAACAGCTGATACATGGTCGGAGCACGCGGCCGGGAAGTGAGCTGCGGGCTTTGCTTCTCCGCGCTGCGCTGCGGCGCGCTTCGCCTCGCCTGCCTTCTAATAAGGCAAAAATTGGCTCGCGGCTCAGCGCGTGGAGTGCGCGCGCGAGAAAAAGCGGGAAAAGAAGCACAAGAGAGAGAGAGGGAGAGGGAGAGGGAAAACGCAGCTTAAAAAATCGTTAGAAAAAGTGTTTCTGAAGTTGGGTGCGTAGGAATGTGAGCGCGCGTGGTGATGTCAGAATATTAATGCGAACAAGACAGTAAAAGATGCAAATATTGGGGAAGCATCGCAAGGAAAAAACAATACACTTATGATTTCTTACTGCAAAGTATTTTATTGCACTTCACGACATGATATTGGGAAAGTTTTTTGTTGCAATATGTTATATTTTTCTCAAAATAATGCATTATTATTGTTACGATTATTACCCAATATTCAATTTCAAGTGTGTACTAACAGTAATGAATCCACATTGAAAGTTCAAAATATATTCATGGAAGCGCATGTATTCAATTATTTATTCGCTGCTTAATTTCGTAGATTAAGTGCGGAAGATGATGAACAAAAATAGAAATATAATCAGATCTTGAATCTTAAAAAAACAACTAAAAAATTATCAAACTTTCAGTTCAGAATTAAGAATGTTTTGTTTGTATTCTAAAATACTCATTGAGCAATAAACAAGAGACAAAACACTCGCAAGATCCCTCTAAGCACAGGAACATCAATAAATGAAGAACCTGGGGTGATAAAATAATACAGCACTAGATTTTGCCTCAATTCGTTATAATGTACAGTTTGTTCACAATATGAAGGGCTTCGAGCAAACATGAATAAGAAAGAAAACGTCCAATAACAATTTTGAACTTGAATAAGTCAAATCCTAATTGCGCTCTCGTAATTAATGAAAATACATTAAATAGGAAGACTTCTTAATATTTCAGACATGTTTAGTCCAGTTTCGTGGATTTCTTCGCAGTTTTCGAGATATTCGTAAAGTACTGAAAGAGTACCCACTTCACGTTCCATACAGATTCAAAATCATTTAAAATCTAACATTTTTGAAACAGCCTCTTTCTGATTGCAGTAGATCATGTAGCCGAGCTTTCCACAACTAGAGTTATGTATCCGATCGTATATTCAGATTATGTTTGTTAGACTATTTTCAGACCTGGATTAGCAGAAGAGTGGAACAAAGGCAATTGAAAAGAAAATTCTCGCCATCTGTTTTGATCAATCAGTCTCTGGTGTTCCTTTGTCAAATGTCTGATGAATGATGGAACGGAACTCCCAACGGGAATCTCCTTCTTCAATCCACTCCCATTCTCTTCACTAAGTTCTGATTCTGTCTGATCTTTCATCTGCAAACCTAGAACCCACATTTTTTGCAGGGCTTGGTATTATATAGGTTTTTACAAAAATATGAATATAAAAATCAAGTTATTGATTACAAAACTGTGACATAAAAAGCATAAAACACAAGAAGAATATATAAAATTCCAAAAATTAACACTAGCTATGCAGAAAAGAGACTCAAGTATGCCATTCCAAATATATCAAAGATCATTCACGATATAAACAACAATAAATCAACACGATAAAAACTGTGTACGAAATATAAATAAAAAGCATTTTTATTTTTAACGATTTTTATGATTCATTGTATTACTGAATCGTGTTAATGATCTATTATCCAAACTTTATTGTGAGTGATTTATTATTGATACATGTAATATATCCGTAATTTGGTAGGAAATATAAGGGACTAAATTTTGAATTTTCAAAGACTTATTTGAACACATATCTAAATTAAAATATGCACATATTTATCATACTAAATTAAAGATAACGATAACATTAACAGAGGATTTTCGAATTGTTCAATCAGTTATAATAAATTTGATCTAAAAAGTTATAAGAAATATTACTCAATTTTTAAAAGTAGGGTCTCACTTGTCTCTTTATTTTTCCCTCCTTAACATTTCTAACCTTCTCCCTCTTATTTTTTTCCTCGGCGTGCGCCAGCATTTATATGGGATGGTGTTGATCTACTTTGCATAATGTCTGCCATCGATCCAGTGAGTGAGGTAAGAGGATGAGTTTGGAAGTGGCTCCAGTTACAATAATAAGATTATTGGTATATTATGCAAGAAGAAAAGTTCAGAGGGCATCAGCATACGTGCAATACATTTTGTTATATTTTTCTACTCCTGCAATGTACTTGAGACTATGTACTCTCTTCTAGACTGGAGACAAAATTTCACATCTAAATATGCTCTCACAAAAAAATCGCGATGCTCAATAAAGAATTCTCTTCCAGACGTCGTAAACCTCAAGTTCTAGAGCTTTTAAATCGATCAGCATCATTTGGTAGTTTGTCACCGAACCTCTTCTCGACTAAGTTCAACTCCCTATCTCACTTGATAAAGCCCCGCGCAACTTCTTCAAATTCTGAGAACTTTCCCCCAAAGAACTTAACGCCAAATGCGTTCCTTTCATGCAAATATCTCTTGCCTCGTATCCTCACCTCCTTTTCCGGGGACTTCGACAGTAATTAACTTCTCCATATTCATGTCAAAACTGGTTCGGAAAGCCGTGCATCTTAAAATTGTAAAATGTATATACCACCTCTTTGAATCTCTTGTATTGCATATCAGAGAAGAAGTGATTAAGAAGTAAGATTTTCAAAGAAAATTAAAACATTATATCCCGTAATATTTGAATATTGAGTAAAATTTGCGACTCCCTTTGAAATATCTATAGTTCTGTTATTCAAATTGTGAAAATTAATACATACCTTCTCGTGTGGGTGATTGCCAACGTGAGAAACGCAGATGTTTATACCAAATGTTCTTGTTCGTATTTTAAAATATCTTACGGATACCTACTGTGAAGTCGTAAGGTTTCACTTCCTGTATCGGCTTTTTGTCTGAGATCTCAAATCGTTGAAGTATGCTCTAAAAATGAATGAAAATAATCACTGGAAACAATATTTGCAACAAGTCCTACTGCCTTAAGATTTGTAACTTAAACTATCAATCGCGTCTGAAAAACTTTTTAAAACTAATTCAACGCTTCATTCCATGAAGTTTTAAGAACTTCACTGTGAAAAATTCTACTCGAGCTGCCAAAAACTAGACTAGTTCATTTATTTCTTCTGAGAGAGACGTCGTGTTTGGAATCTTCTAAGGCTACCTTTCATTTAATTATTTGGAACAAACAAATAAGATGCACGAAAATTGATTACATGTATATATTGAACTATTTCAAATGAATGTGATATAAAAATAACATTGAAAATTGAATTTTCTTACTTTTTGTACGTAAAATAAATTGTTTTATAAAATAATTTAAACAAACATACAATAGCGCTCTTTAATAGTTGATCTGTGGAAAATTTTATAACTCAGTATCCGAAGTTTTAATGTCCAACAGACCGAGTCACTTCACTTAAAAGACACACTAAATGTTAAAATAGTCTTCAGTGAGGATACTTAAAACTATTCAATTTTTGTAATACAGGCAATGGTATATCATATTAAGTACAGTAGTGTAGACGACACTACAGTATTATATTTTAATGGTTAATAATTATTTTTAATGTAGTGAAATCAAGGAGTTGGAAATGACTTTTATGTTAACAAGCAGATTAAAATCAATCCACAAAATTTACTTAAAATTGATGTCCAGAGAAATGTTTCTGTATTTAATCACCCTTCATCATGATATAGGAAACGAAGATTGATTTTTTCCGTCTGAGGGAGTATAATCGCTAAATATCGAGGTCACTAATATTATGTAGGGTGTAGGAAACCCAATTCCATAAATTCAGATACATAAAACCGCCTTGAAACGACTTTCACCTTTCACTATCAAGGACCGTAAAGCGGAAAGTATCTTTACGAGGTCGGGGTGATTCCAGGATTCAGTAGGTCAGATGGTTCGTAAAATATATTATGTAATGGCTAGGAGACACATGTGTTTTGGGGTGCGGAGTGTACGAATCGATACAGATTACAGTAGACGAGCTGACAGCACTTACTCTGCAGATCAAATTGGTTAATGAAACAATGTGATTGAAATTTAATTGTTTTCGGATTCGCTAAAGTGATAGCGCCAGCCCTTTGATTCTAACGTTTCATTACATCTGCAACTCTTTCTCTCATGAAGGGATAGATCCCCCTTTTTAAAAACAAAATGTATTTAAATTTCACTTTATTTTAATAACATAAGAAAGGTTCGATGGAAGCTTTCATACCGCCTCGTATGTTTAGAGATGCACCCCACTTGTCGCATTGCCAAAAATTACAAAAATTGTGAGTGTTCAAAACTAAATTGTTTGTGAAGAGCAATCTTTTGAAAATAATGCTTCGAATGTTTTAAAGCTAATAACGCCCAAACACCCGACAGCGTCTCTTCAGTAAGTAGTAAAATATACCAAATCCTGAAATTAATTATCATGAGTAATACATGATGCACATTACATTCGCTATGTCAATCTCTTTCAACCAATTAGCACAATTACACTAACCTCTGTGTATTTAAATTTGAAACAAATTTGGAACATTATTCCACACGGAAAATTTAATTTGCTGATGTCATCAAAGCATTTTCTAAGCAACTGGTTTTAATTATATTCCATGACTTTTGTGGCTCATCCGTGTCGTAATATTCCAAAATACCTTCTTTTATTAAACAATCATTGTGTAAAATTTCAAATTATTTGATTCAATTTTTTTATGGTTAACAACATATTATGGTGGTTTAATTTTTCCCAAAATTACAAAGAATTGCAAATTTTCTTATTTTCGTAAAATCCGAGTCATACTCTATTTTCAAAAACAAATCTCAAAATGATAAATAAAGAAAATCAAGCTATGGCAACACATTCTACTTGGTACGTATGTCTCACTAAAATAATAGGTTATACCAATCAAAGTTACTAGTAAACTATCAGAGGTGCTCAAATATAAAATGCCTATGTAATACATTGTATGTGATGTATTATACATGTATCGCGTCCATTATGGTCAGTGCATTCTTAAACACATTATCTTAAGGTATGATTTATGTGCTTCGTAGTAAAACAGATTTTGGTTGCCTTCAGATAATTTTACTTTTTGGTAAGATGGTCCAGCTAGCAATGCGAAATTGATTAGAGAGGCGTGCCACCAGCTTGTGCACGAACTAAGGAAACTCCGGACTGGTCTCCAAACATGTGTGGTAGTGTAGAGTAGTGCATGAACGTGGAAGTGTGTGTGCAAGGAAAGAGGGGGGCATTGATTAGGAACGATAGATGATACGCTGTTCGTTCCCCGTTTGTAAAAGTATTCCGGCGATCGCCTGGTTTTGATGGGGAAATCCTTGAAAAATAAGAGAGGCTGGAACCTAAAAATTCTCCTCCACTCAACAGTTGAGTTTGACCTAATTTTGCAGTTCGAATTCATGGCTTGTATATTTTAGCATTGTCGTTTCCTCAACTTAAAAATTTCCATGGAAGTTCGTGATACTACGTACTACAACCCTTGTGAACAAACTTCCTGTACCCGAAATGGAATTCCACTTCACACTGTATATCGCTGTAATGTTTTTAACCGTGTAGAATTCGTATTTAATAAAGCAGAGCGAAGGCCGCGAGAAAACCACAGGTGGTGCCTGTCGTGCAGGGGCTCGGGGCCGGGAGGCGGCGGCGGCGGGGCGGCGCAAACGCGATCTGCGGCGCCGCCCCCGCGGAGGGCTTCTTCGGGAGGGACTTGTTTGGTTTCTTCCCCGCCGCGCCGCACCCGCCCCACCTTCCCCGCCGCCGCCCCAGCGCTCCGCCGCCCCCCACCAGGCGCCTCGTCGCAGTCTCCTCCCACGCACACGGAACGGTCACGTCCCGCGCGATTCCCTCCTCCGGGCGGACGTGATCTCGGAGCCCGCCGGGCTCAGGTGGGCGGCGGACAGCCGGCAGGCGCGCCGAGGGCGGGACTCGTCAACAAGTAGGCGCGGCACGTGGCCGCCCCCCGCGCCGCCCCGCCTCGCGCCCGCCGCTGCCGCCGACCGCGCCTGCTCGCTTGCGCCGCGCCGCGCCGCCGCCGCGCCGCCACCCCGCCGGCAGTGCCTCGCAATCGTCCGCCGCGCTCGCCCGCGCCGCGCCGCGCACCCGCGCCCGCGATCCGCCGCCGCCCGCGCCGCCCCGCCCTCCGCCGCCGTCGACCGCCTGTTAGTGCTGCGTGCCGCTACGGAGATTGCTTTCTCCGGCCGCTTCGGCAGTGCGTCCGAATGCCCCGCCGCGCGGGCTGAGTGCGTCGCGCCCCATGGCAAGAGGTAAAGGTGCTTTGCTTCCCGTGATTTGATGGCGGGCCGTGTCGCGCCCGCCTCCCGCGGTGGTGTTAGCCGGTGCGCTCGTGGGGGGAAAGGTGGAATTTGTGCTCGTGGGGGAGTGGGCGTGCTGGCGTTCGCGCGTCTTTTCGCTCCGATCCGTTGGCACGCCCCCGCCCCGTCGCACCACGTCGTTCTTCGTCCCGCTTCTCGCCCTAATGAGACTCGTAATTCCCTTCCCCGCTTCCTCCACCGCTTCCTCCGCCGCTTCCTCCGCTTCTGTTGGAGTCGCTGAGTGAAGCGCGGGACCGTCGCCGCGCGAGGCAGAATCTTATTAAGGAACACGTGTTCAAGATTCAACTGCGGAAGAGATGCCTGACAGGAAAGTAGCTCCATCGACTGAAATTACGACTAATGCAAAGGATATTCCAGTTAAAAGATTAGTATATCAGCTGACTATAATGTAATCACTTGCACATACTGCACCGTCCATGCCAAATACATACAAACTGGATTTGTACCATATACAAACACACCGGAAATTATAAATAAATAATTGCACCAGCACATTAATATTTGCTAATGATAGTGAATATTTCCTTATTTCTTACTCTTTTTTCTTAAATTATTTCTTTCCTGATTCGTCAATTATCTTCAGAATAGGATCGAAAATAATTTTTAATGATTACATCCGCCCTTTAGTTGTTTTTTTCTGTCAATTCCGTATCGTAGAAAGTATCTGTGACTAACCTGTTTCTCCTTGATATTTAACTTATTTGTATGTATGAATGTACTTAGTGTGGCAGTCTCTGGACGGGCTCTTACCGCTGACGTCCTTGCCTCGAGGCCATGGGTTAAGGGGGTACGTGTGGTTAGCACGTAGACATCCCCACGCCGTACTCCGGTCTTCTCAATCTGAGAAGTGAATTTTCTAATCGTCACACAGCAACATGTTCTGGGACCTTACAAGGAAAACGCACACAATAATCTTGCCTGACTGGGAATCGAACCCAGGGCCGAGAAGTCGAAAGTGAGTAAGCTGGCCAAGAGCTAGCCACGAGGCTATACAAATATTTACTGCGATAATATTTAGTCTGGTTATCATAATCAGATTTTTTATAAAAACGTATATAATTACATCTTAATCGCCACAGAAATATGAGATACAGATATTACTTTACATTCGAATTTAAAACGAAATATGTCTAATCTTAGTTTGGGTGAGTGCAAGGCAATGAAATTTGAAGAACGATTAAAAAAGCAGAATAATCTGTTTAGTTCACGTAATTAACACTGTAAATTATTTTTAGAAACGATGAATACAATATAGTCTTTTTAATTTTAGAAATCAGAAAATTTAATTTGTTCTATTTCTTGATCCTGTCAAGAATTCCATGATATTCCATATCTATATTACATAGTCCGACTATTTTTATGGATAACTTATTCAAAAATATGAGAAAGAAGTACAGGAAACATCCATGAAAATTGACTTGTGTAACGTGTTGGAGATGCTTTCCATAGCATTTTCTTCCATGAGTAAATCTGAAAATGCTTGACATTTTGAAACTTTTATCTTTCTTACCTCATATTCCAAATTAATGAGAGGTCTACATCTGAAATGATTAATATTGTCACGGGCGATAGACTATGATCTGAATTGAAATATTTAATAAAATCCATTTTTATTCTGAAATGTGATATACATTCCAAAAATATATTGTGTTTTATCGTTTTTTGTATTATATTGCCACATTGTCGGAGAGTAAATAACTCTATTTTATTAACCTGGCTCATACACGTTTGCCAATAGTCATTGATCACAAACGTCATTCTATTTGCCCCACTTTGCCTAACTCACTTTGGGCTATACTCACATCGAGTACGCTATGTATGCATTGACTGAATGAGTCCATTAATTAGATCCAAACGCAAATCTGTTGTCTCACAAATGGCGTGATGGTATCCTCTTAGTATTGTATTCCCATTGGTATGGAGTATTGCTTCTGTAAGTTAAAATATCATCTGTCGATTGCTTTGGTCATTTTTTTCTTCTCCATTCCCTCTGATTACTTTGCAGTAACACAGAACTTTAATAAACATTTTGATACGTTTATACACGTTGATTAAGAAGAAGACATTTTTATTCACATTAGGAGATTCAATATTGTTACATGCTTTCTCCGAAATATTTAGACGTAACAATGTTTGTACTCGTAAAAAGATTTATTTAGTGCTGTTTTTGCTCACGTTCAATGATTATTTTATTTTATCAAATGAGGTGTAGCACTGTTTTCAAGTAAGAAATATAAGAATTTTTATAAATATTTTTAAGCTGTCATATCGAAATATTTTAATTGTTTCTTAAAGTCTTCTCTTTCTAATAAAATATTTATTAAATTCCGAACGCCATAGAAATTATTTTTAAACTCTTGCGAGATATCCTAATAGCACGTGAATTAATGTGACTATGAATCACTTACAGAAAGTAGAAGTTAGTGTCCATGTAACAGTGATATTGCACAGAGCTTGTTGCAATTTTAGAATAATAAAATGTCAAATGAGCATTTGATACGATATTATAAAATACTACTTGTTACTTACACTAAAATAAAATAATTATAAAAGAGTTAGACATGAGATATGTTTTTTCTTCATTTGTTTTTACGTTTTTAATTACATTTGTGGAAGTGAACGGTTACAATATATCGAATTTACATCAAATTTTACCTGCGATGTAACAAATTACTACAGGAAACTAATTTGCTCGAGGATTACATTTATTCAAAACAATTCTAATATAATTCAATATTTGAAAAAAAATATTGCTCCATTTGTAAAACTCACTTGTTCATTTCCTGATTTTCTCTTTGCATTCCTCTCTTTCCCGCAAATTACGTGAATTAAAAGCTAATCATTTCCTTCTATAATGCGCTGCTGGCTATAATTGGAAAAATTGATGACAAAACAAAATCATGTCCATGAGTTCATGAAACGCGTTATATCCTCACCTCACATCTCCCTCTCCCCCTCTCTCCACTATCTTTCGTCAGCAATGGAATAGGCTGAAACAATGTCTTCAAGCTTTATTTGCACGTGTATTTGATTTATTTATTTTTACGTTCATTAAATATTTGTTGTAAATTATCGATTTCAAGCAGAATTAGAGGAAACTTTCCCCTCTCTTTTGAGCGCACACTTCAATATCCTTTTAAAGTTATTACTTTTGTTTTTCATTTTTATATAAATTATGTACTCGATGTGTAATGTTTTTCTGCTTGTTGATTTATGAATATTAGTATGTTATTTATCATACACAGAGCTTAATATAAATTATATTTACTCTTTTTAATTAAGTTTCTGGCTTTATTTATCAGTATTTCACAAACCTTGAAGAGAAAGTTCCGGAATATTAAAGCGAAAACCGGAGCATGGTACCTAATAAATTGATAAGCTATTAGCATATTTTAAAAGCACCGGAATTTTAATGAATACGTTATGAGGCATCATTTCTCTGAAAAACTCATTCAGAGAATACTGAGACCGATAATGTTGACTTAAATAAAAACAGTAGACAGAGTTTCATTGCAATTAATTTCAGTAGGTTTATTATCATATTCTTGAAATGCAGAAATAGTGTTACTGAAAGATACGTTTTGCAAAACATTTTTGCGAATGATCATCATTTAAAATATATCATTCTTGAATCAATTAGGTTTTTAAACAATTAAGTTTTCAAAATGGGTTCATTTATTGAATGTTGTTCCTTATGAGTAGAAATTATTTCCAGAATTCAGAATCATGTTTGAGAGACTTGAATTCAGTACACATTTTTTAATGATTACAGTGAAACAATGTTCTAATTTACTCAGAAGCACCTTCATCAGGTTCAAGCTTGGTCACTCAGTTCTTATATTATCAATTCAAATTAAGTAGAATAAATTATTATTATTATTATTATTATTATTATTATTATTATTATTATTATTATTATTATTATTATTAACAATCTTCATTGTGTAAATATTTAAGAAAATTTTGAAAATTTCGTTGAATATTTTGGGAAAAAGATTGGAATGTTTCTCGTTTTCAGAGCCCAATTTTATTAACATTTTGTCAGTAGACTCTTGCCTAATTCTGATTGTTTCTTAGAATATTCGCTTTCGTATGGTATCTATTCCGAAGTTTATATTTCAAGTAATACTAAGATATACTTTCTCAAATTACGCAGGGCACCATAAAACTGAATGATTTTTTCAGATGTTCATCCCCTCCCTCGTTAATTGTGATTGCACTCTTGCTCGTTCTGTTATACTACTACACGAGGGGGTGAAAGCACTATCAGCTCAGTCCAAATATTATTAACCAAACTTCACCCTTTTTGCATTCTGTGCTACCTTCAAGAAGACCCTCGTGACTACACGAAAGCATAAAACAGTTCAAAACCAGTTTATTCCTACGGAGAAAAAGTGTCCCTTTCCTACCAATCAAACCGAACCTATCTATAAGGAGGACACAATATGGTTCATCTTTTTCATATAAAATTTTCGCTAAAGGTAATTGATTTTAATTGCAAAGCGCCTGCGATCAACTTTATTTTGTTCATTTGAAGTTAAGTTTATTAGTTGTAGTGAAGAAATTCAAAAACAGATCATTGTAATTGGTAAATCCCTTGGTATTATATTTTGTCATTCAGGTCTTTACATATACATTACCAAGTAGTTTGGATTTCTATTAAACATGCAGTTTTCGCATGCAAAATACATTTTTTTAAATTTACTGGAACAGTAAATTCCATAAAAATTACCTGTTACAATAAACTTTATTTATATCAACTTGGATCAAAAACAGCCCATTCCAACCGACAAATATTTAAATATTGTTGTAAAAGATCATTAGAACTTTCTAGAACTGCAGCAACCACAATACTAGTTTCTTTGAAACGGTTTATGAACTACGGAAATACGAGTGACGTGCCACGATTAATATTTGCATTGGAAATAATT